TGTTGTTGTCTGAAGTCATGAACGTTAGTTGGTGCTCCAGTATAATCGGTACCCCTGAAACTCATCCAGTGAGAAACGTTCCGCGGTACAAAAATAAGTGCGATTAAAATGCGTTAATTTTTGTGTAATTAATTAATCTTAATTAACGCGTTAAAGTCCCGGCCCTAATATATATATATATATACTCCCCAAACAGGCGAAAACCTACCAGTTTCACCCACTGTCTCTGCCACCTCCCTCCATGCCTGGTTCCTCCAGTTTGTATCCCGGTAAATAGTTCTGGTCGTAAAGAACCGGGTGATTTGCTACCGTAATTTCTCGTTTGGAATATGAGGAAATGAACTCATACTCATCGCGGTTTGATTGGCTAGCGCTTGTACTGTCAGATTTGCATAAACGGGATTTGATTGGCTGATGCTTCCAGCTCAGCTTCAAAAGTTGAACATTGCTCAACTTTTGAATCCTGAAAATCCTGGAAATCTTTGCTTTGCTTCCCCACAATGCAGTTCGGCAAAAAGCAAGGCAAAGTGACGTCACCCCCATTCAAAGTCAATGGGCAGAGAAGCGTTGGAAGATTTTTTTAAAGCTGCTGTGTGGACGTACCATGACTAAGAAGAAGCTTCTAGCATCTAGAGTTCAGATGGATTTCCTGTGTTTTAAGCAATACAGGAAGAATACGAGATACAGAAAGGCAGATAGATGACCGCTGAGAACCACTTGTGGGTAGGTTTTGGCTGGTTTCCTCTGTGTGAACATATCTGTGTCATCAGAACAAGAGAATGTTGCTGTAAAAATAACAAAAGCTTGCCTGGCTCCAGCTCTGAAAGAGAGAGCATCTCCAACAGATGGCAGCTAAAGTCTCTTCATCTGTCTTGAGTAACACACACACACTCCTGCCAAATGTTTTATTTGTATCTTTTATTTTATTTACAGACTCTAGTTAGTACTATTCGAATAGTGGAATTTAAGCGTGGGTTAAAACTAAAATGTAGTCCCACCTGTGGCCATGATGAGTCCAGGTGCAGAGTCCTTGGATAAAATGGGCATCCTCCTCAGCTGGATGTTGAACAACTGGCTCCAGCGCTGGGCCAGGTGCAGGGAGCAACCTTTACCGAGCTGTGGAGGAGGAGAGGAAGAAGATTGACGATTTGTTCCTTAGTCATTTTCTTCTCTTTGCTTTACCACCAAATGACATCATGAGAGTACTAGACAGAGAAAGTGAGTGCTCGAAATTGATGGTAAGTTTAGGAAGGTGAACTTTCAATTTATTTGGCTGATACTAATACTTGATATGAATATTGATAAAGAATACAAATTATTTTGAGGTTTGACATTGCAATGTTAGAAAAAAACAAAAACAAATTAAATCCTACTTTTCAGATACTTTTATTACCAACTAAGGCCTTTTTTTTTATAGATAAATGAATTAAATGACGTAAGACCTTAAGGATCCATGGTAATTGAGTATAATAGAGGTTTGACCGTATTCATCACACCATAATCAGTTTGTGAAACTGAAATGCTGCTTAAAGGATCTGTCATCTTGTCAAGATACTTTCCATTCACAATAATAATTATAATAAATTGCAATTCAGAGTAAAGAATGGGAATAAGGCTACCAGCAGACTTAATAAACTACGGAGTGTGTGAAGGTGTAAATGTAGAAATAGGATGTACAAAATAAAAAAGAGGCTGTGTACAATATCATTTATGATTATTAATGCTAATTTGATTAAACATGCTTTTATAAGAGAATATGTATCATGTGAGCATAATCTAAAATAAATAACATAGCTCTTAAATGTGGTTGTAAACATATACAGGCTGCATTAACAGCTAATAGTTCACCATGGGCAATTGTTTTATATAGAGAACAAATTGTTTAACGAAGTTGCAATGAATGAAATAAGCAAAACCGATTGAGATACAGTGAACCTGTTTCTGGGACACTGGGACTATTGCCTACTTTGCACCGATTGGTCCGTTTCACGAGCCAATTTCTGATGTTGGCAAACAAAAATCTTAAATAGGTGTACCTGGCATTCCACAGTGCCTCCCAGGCTGTCAGCAGTAGGGGGCTGGAGCAGCTCCCACGTCCCCCCCTTGTCGAAAGTGATGACTGATCGCATATTGTCCTCGTTGAGCGAGCCGTTGAGCGAGCCGTTGATGAGCGTGGCGATGAAGACTCCTCGCAGCCCGTCCACACGGTGCAGGTCTGCAAAGGGCTCGTTGGCAAAGTACCTGAAACACAGGGGCAGAGCGTTCAGAGGAGGACAGTTGATGAAGTCGTCTTTAATGTCCTACAGTTGTTGATATAACTGCAGATAAGGAAGAAGGAATAAACAACTTATAATAAATCCCCATAAAATACATTTTAATGTATTTTTCATTTCAAGTATATAGTGTGTTACTGTTTTGGAAGAGCCTGAGACTTAAAAGAGGCTTTGCTGTAGTGTGTTATACAGGTTGTTGTAAAGGGTCTGCAAAGGCAACAAGTTCCTTCCAGGGGGAGTTTCTCTCTCACACACTCCCCCCCCCCCCCCCCCCCCTTTGCCTGAAAGGCCTCCATTGGACTCCTTTGTTTACTTCCGTAACATAATGACATCATGTCCATTGGCTGGAGCTCCAACACATTGTATGTGATACAGGACATTCCCGACACATCTCTAAGCGGTTGACAAATCGCAAACAGAGCCGACCAGCTAACCAATCAGGGCACACTGGGCTCTGGTTTCAGACAGAGGGTGAAAAGAGGTGCTGCTGCACAGGCAGTATGAGACAAATAAAGGGCTTTTTGAACATTAAAGCATGCAGACATTTCACAGCAGAGACACAAAATACAAATATGAACCTAAACATTTACAGAATTTGTCCTCTTTAAGATTTTAATTGACAACAACTAGGCTTTAGCTTTTTTGAATAAGACAATACACTCATTGCATCTTATATCTTATTTATAAATCTAGTATTTTTAAGTTGCCCCATACATGTCCCTTTCACTTGGCTCACTAACACTGGAGGGTAAACGCAAGTAGACATAGTGCATCTGTATTATAGAGCTGTAGAGGTAACTTAACACAAAGCAGAGAGAGGTAAACAGGAAGCTTCAACATCATTACCCAGAAATGATGTAAGAGAGCTGCATACAAACACACGCACTTTCACCCACAGGATGCTGTAGGATTAGATGAACAGAAGGTACACTTCATTTCATTATCAGAAAACAGTGTCACATACAAAGGGAGAATCAACATTGGGAGGCAAACACCTGAGCCTGCACTGTAACCGCCTATGACAAAACAACACAGGAGCTTCCTGATGTGATTATAGAGGAGCAGAAAAACAATGAGAGGTCAGACAGAGTTGTGGAGTCAGATCAATAGATTCCCTTTTATTAGATAAAGAGGAATTACTCTTTGTTGTTTACAAAGACTCACTGTTATCAGACCTTTTTAGGCAGAAACTAGACGTTTCACTGTCAGTGTCTAAGGTTGCTATGGGAACTACTCTATTACTAGAAAACTCGCAAACTGTGCTTAATATTTACCGGACGTAAACACCGTGCTCATTTGTATGCGTCTGTACAATTGGCTTGAGCGTGTGATCCAATTCTTAAACAAAGGGAAAATGCGTAAAAACATTATATTCATAGAACTAAATAAATATTAAGCATGACATTTCATCTTTACCAAGGAGCTAGTTTAACAAAACAACCCGACTAATGATTTCTCTGGAGATTTCAAATGTATCACACGCTTTCATCAGCAGAAGACATTAGCTCAGTTGTCATGAAAATTGATTTGCTGGCTGAGTTACTGACAGTTCATTTTGATCTGATGGGAAACGAGTCCATTATATTCTTTCTCAAAATTCTTGCAGTGACTTGGACCCTAACCAAAATATAGCTTGTCGTCTTTAAAACATGTATAATGCACACAGCTGATCCAAGGCTGATTTCCCTACCTGACAACATAAATACAGAATAACCTGTAGTTTTATTCATATACAGTAAATAAGTAAAATCTACAAACAAACTGACAACCCTTATACAAAACCAGGACACAAACAACCACAAAAAGCCTTAATAGACAGATAATAAGCTGTTATAATACTAGAGGACATATTATGCTCAATTGTTTTGTTTCATATTTGTATTTTGAGCCTCTACTGTGACATGTCTCCATGCTTTAATGTTCAAAAAGCTCTTTATTTTTCTCATACTGCCTGTGCTGCAGCACCTCTTTTCACCCTCTGTCTGAAACCAGAGCCCAGTCTGCTCTGATTGGTTAGCTGCTCAGTCTTGTTTTGATTAGTCAACCACTTAGAGATCTCCCACCCCTTAGCCTTTCATGTACAATGTGTTGCAGCGCTAGCCAAAAGAAGTGGAAGTGTTACATAGTGATGTCATTATGTTAGGGAAATTAACAACAGAGGCGTTTCAGGCAAGGGGGGGAGAGTGTGTGGGAGAAAACTCCCTCTGGAGGGAACACAGGGATTTTTACTTTTGCAGAGCATTTACATGCACCAAAACCTGATTAACACACTATAGGAAGTGACCAATAACACTATATACCAGGGGTGTCAAACTCAATTTAATCGCGGGCCACATCAGCATTATGGCTGCACTCAAAGGGCCGGTTGTAACTTTAAGACTATATAAAAAATACATATATACGGTAAATATATATATAAAATAATGTATTATATTACAATATTGTCTCTGTATTGGATTATTATTGGATAGGGTAATAACTTCATAATTAAGTACGTCTGAAAGCAGAAGTCTAGGGCAAATAATTGCAAGTCACAAAATGATTTAAAAAGAAAAGCCAAATTCTGTAAAACAAGTCACAATCAAAAAACAGAAGTGACATTTTTTTTTTAAAGAAAGTAACATAAAAAAAAAAAAAAAAAAAGAGTCAAATTCTGAGAAAAAGGCACATTCTAAGAAAAAAAGGCATATTTAGAAGAAAAAAAGTCAAATTCTGAGAAAAAAAGTCTAATTTGAGATGCATTGTGGGACATGTAGTTTATGGGCAACGTGCTTCAGTAAATCATCATGTAACCGTATAATAAACATATAATATTCTTTGCAAGCTCTTGTGGGGCCACATAAAATGAAGTCACAGGCCGGATTTGGCCCCCGGGCCTTGAGTTTGACACCCCTGCTATATACTTTTTAATGAAAGCTATGCGTGTTGATTCAAAAGCTCTCAATATGGTTCCCACAGACTAGTTCCCTAAACCATATTGCGAAACAAGGAACTGGAAGCCTCCCAGATATTGCTGTGCGACATGAAGACATTTTAATATTGAGATGTCTTTGATCAAATTCCTTATACCAATATTGCGCCAATGATTTAAGGGTGACTAGCGTGCTTAAAAAAAAAAGAAAGAAGATCTCTCTCTCTCAGGTGTGTGCTGTACAGCCGCAATACGTAATTAAAACTTTCCATGCCAATAAAAATAATTGCTTTGGGATTGCTTCAGACAGCCCTTGTGTCCAACTTGGGTTGCCCTCGTAAAATCAATCTGCGCACTGTTGATAAATCGGCCCTACCCTTGCTCAGACAACCAGAAAGAGCTTGGTGTAAATCTGCTGCTCTTTGCCTTGAAAGGGAGACCATACATCTGGTGCCACCCTGTGAAGCCAGCAGCTGTGGGAAGACCCAGGAGATTAGGAGGATTATATATCACATGTACTTTTGTCTTCAAACCAGACCAACAGGTTTACTCTATCCATCAGCCTCATATTTGTTGCACTTGTTAGACTTTTCTTTAGTGGCCTATATTTGCGACATGGGCGGAAAAAGCTCTGCGTTGACATTTAATTCCTGTGGAGAAATCGGTGCCAATACATTAGGCGGAAGCGTTGACCGCAGCATCTCAATGCTCTACGTTGTCACCCAGCACTGCTCAATCAGATAACAGCTGTATGTAGCGCACAAGCTAGCAAGGAAGGTGACCATAGAAAGAAAAATGAACTGGCTGTTTTCACCACAAGGCTTTTATCATTTGAATGCAGCTTTAATGTGTCTTAGAGGTCCTATTGTGCATTTTGTGGTTTTACCTTTCCTAATGTGTGTTTTTGTGCAAATTTAAATGGTCTGCTAACATTTTCTCTACCACATACTCTGAAACGCCTCCATTGGACTCCTTTGTTTACTTTGATAACATAGTGACGTCACTATGTAACACTCAGGCTTCTATTGGCTAGCGCTCCAACACATTGTACGTGATAGGCTAAGGGTTGGGACATCTCGGAGCAGTTGGCCAATCAAAACAGAGGCCTGCCAGCTAACTAATCAGAACAGACTGGTTTCGGACAGGGTGAAAAGAGTCACAGTAGAGGCACAAAATACAAATATGAACCTGAAAATGAGCGAAACAGGGCCTCTTTAAACTACACTGTGTGTGTGTGTGTGTGTGTGTGTGTGTGTGTGTGTGTGTGTGTGTGTGTGTGTGTGTGTGTGTGTGTGTGTGTGTGTGTGTGTGTGTGTGTGTGTGTGTGTGTGTGTAATACCTGATCAGTGTGTTGCTGCCAGAGCCCTCAGGACTGTAGTAAAGAACATTCTCCAGAGACAGAGAGAAGGACAGGCCCTGTGTGTCCGAGATGTAGAGGTGTGTGACGTTGTTCAGGTGATTCACACACACAAACACTTGGTCCTCTGACGCATCTGCTATGTAGTACTCCTGTTAGGACAAGAAGAAGATGGGAGGGGGGTCATCTTTAGACTGAGGATGCAATATGACTGGAAACGATGTAAAAAGATTTCAGAAACAAAAATTCAGCTGCATACATGATGATGTAGGTGGTTCCTCCATCAGAATGAAGATATCGTTTGTCTGTATTTTTTTTTTTAAATGGGAGCCACAGTGTTCATATTTAGTTTGCTTATTACAACTACTGCAGAGAGTGCTAAAACAGATAGGAGTTAGGAGGAGCGTTTGACACTGGCTCGAGAATTATCCCATTGGCAAATTCATACAAACTTTGGGAACCACTATCTTGACAATCAGGTTAACTCATGGATCTAACACCTTTTAAATCTGCATATTCTGCAAAAATACAAGCTCTTTGTACAATGTTCTGTTGACCACAGAAAAGGTATTTTTCCCGTTAGGTTAACACATCTTAAGGTTCATTCATTAAGATTTAGCGGCAGTAGCTCAAACTTAAGAGACTTGGCTTTGGGACCAAAGGGTCGCCGGTTCACGTCCCGATAGAAACAAAAATAAGGAATGTGGACTGGTAGCTTGGAGAGGTGCCAGTTCCCTTCCTGGGCACTGCCGAGGCATCGAACCAACTGTTCCCTGGGGTTGGAAAAACTGACAATCTGTATGCTCTGACAATTCCAGTGGTTACTTTACTTAAAGGGGACTTATCATACAAAATGCACTTTTGTACGTCTTTTATACATGAATATGTGTCCCCGGTGTGTCAGGGAGCTCACCAAGTGTCAGAAAACACAACCCTTTCTCTTTTCCTCCATACCCAAATCTCTAAAAACGGGGCTGCAACGGATCTGATACAGACTGATCCAGATTTGAAAATTCTCTAACGTCAGGAACGAGGAGCTCCGCCTATATGGGCAACTCTCCACCTATCAGGAGGAGACAGCCACAGCCATTGCCATTCGAAAGCGCTGGAGACGCTGTAGTACATATGCCAGGTCTGTAGGTGGCGCTGTATTCTGCCACAAAAGCAGCGAAGAAGACTTCTCAGATTCAGCCCTTGCAAGAACAGGGCTAAAAAAGAGCAAATAGAGCGAAATGAGGCATGGCTAAAATGCATGATCTGTTTGGTATTTTGAAAAAAAAACTTCGCTGACATGTTTTGTATAGGTATGGCCCTACAATATATTATTCAAATATAGCATGATAGATCCACTTTAAGTAAACATATAAGTACCAGAGATAAGAATACTCTGTTACAAGTAGAAGTTTACTCAACTCAATAAAGGACATACGCATTAGCATCAAAATATACTTGAAGTACCGAAAGTAAAAGTACTAAGCACATTTGCTCATTTTAGAATAATATATATAATACATTTAGATTATTATCATCAATGCATTAATATGTTTATCAAAGCTGGTAAAGCTGGAACTCATTTTATTATTTTATTGACTGCTGGGTAGCTTGTGAATTTACTCCAGGTGTAACTCAAGTCTTATTTGAGTTTTGACTATGTATTCAATTAGTAATCCAAATCTGCAAAGTAACTTAAGGTATTAAATAAATGTAGTGGGGTAGAAGTACAAAGTAAAAAACTAATTCAAATACTCAAGTAAAGTACAAGTACCTCAGAATTGTACTTAAGTACAGTCCTTTGCAAATGTACTTAGTAACTTGACTTCATTGAACAATTGCTCACTCACTGTGTTTTATATTTATATATATGTTTTCAGACTTCATATGTATAGGTCCTGTGCATGTGTGTGTACTGTGTATAATAACAGTGAACAACGGAATTTCCCGGAAAAATAAAAGGGACTTCTTCTAACGTTGTTTTCAGATAAACGCACATTTTTTTCTATACATACATTTTAGCGCCGTAACACAACAACAAAAGAGTTTGGTGTGTTTTGAAGTAGCGTTGGATTATGGGATTTGGGTTCAATTCCGATTCGATACCCAGAAATACTTCATCTTTAGTTCCTCATTTGGCCGGTTGATCCAGTTTTCATTAGTTGTTCATCAATTGAATGACTGCAGCATTAGATGTAAAAGAAACTCACTGTGATTGGATGTCGGGTCATAAACTGGGCTGCTTTCATTGGCTGGCGGTTGTAGGAGACCCAGAGCTGGACAGATGAAGGTGCATGGCTGCCAAACTGTTTCTGGAGAGGCAGAGGACACAGAGACAGAGAAAGCACAGTCAGATAACTCATCATGTATGTCAAACCCTTGAACATTTCAGAGGCGGCCAATCTGCTGTGATCTGTTTGGTAACTCAGCAACTCCAACTTGGAATTGACATACAGGCTTCATCTGTCAATGAAGAAGGGATTCAATGAGTTAGCATAAATGTTGGTGGCCACAACTACTCAAAATATTTGTTGAAATGTTAAATCAGGCATCTAAAAATCTCAAACATCGTTGTGCAGTGCGGTCCCCAGAGGTTGTGGATAAGGACAAGTGACTTTGGTTATCTGGACTATCCTGATGATGTTTTCCTGTCTTCATGGCCTTACAGTGCTTGCCAGCTGAGTCAGAAAACATTAAAAGTCCAGAAAGACTCACAGTGGGGTACAAAAAGCTGTGTGTACTGTATCTGTGTGTGTGTCTTGGAACAATTTATTTCCATCCTTGACTGCCTAAAACACCCCCCAGTCTCCAGCAAAGCATTTCAGGCTTTTCAATTCAGTCTATTGATTTATCTAGCGTAGTGCCACATCGACTGTGTGGTGTGATGTGAAAGCAAAGCAGCAACTACACTGAAACACTAGGAGGGAATGGAGAGAGAGGAAAATAAGGGTTAAGGTCTATATGGTATAAAATTATGTAAAATACAAGCCAATATTCCTTCTGATATGTAAGGAACAGTTGTCTATAGGACTATATTCTCTTCACATGTTATACTTTAATCAAGGTTTTCAGGTCAGTGTAATTTGTGAGTCGAGAGGGAAAATTAGACAGGAGGAGAGTGTCAACTACGGTATGTGTTTTCACATGTAAGTGGTATGGTGATTATACCATATATTTTCCCACTGAAACCTCAGATTGCCTTGCAATGGCAACAGTAATTGGCCACACATTCCACTGTGCTCATATTCTCTGAAGCTGATCCTCTCTAAACTCTCGCTGTTTTCTCAAAATTAGATCAGGGCCTCAGATCAACGCAGCCTGATGGCAAACAGACACTATCACATTATTGTTAATTGTAATAAGTAATACACAACTCATAAATATAAAATTACCAGAAATAAACTAGATGTAGTCGTGCTAAGGAATGTTAATGGGAATAAATACGCAATTCCCAACTCTGAGATCTCAACTTTTTGACATAACAATTGTTATTAAACCAGATGAAACCAATGAGATAAGGGACACTTGCGATGTTGATCTGGCCATAGAGGCTAGTCTGCTGTTGTGAAAACAATAAACTATAAAACAATTTATATAAAAGGTCAGAGTAGTAACTGATGTCCATGGATCACCAGAAGAGGTTGAATATAGATAGATGCCTAACAAAAAGAGACAACAAGACATGAATAAATGACTAACATTTTGTGGAAAAATAAAACAGCAGACCTTTGTTTGAAACCATAAAGATTTCAAAGGATACAGAAAACATTGAAAGCTGATGAATCCATCAAGGACACAATATCTTTATGCTAACCCACGTCTAAAGATAAATGTCTGAACAACGCAGCTGTGTTACAGGAGTTCAACAGGGCTCAATACTGGGCCCCCGCATCTTTTCCTTTTCTACAAGGATGCTTGGTTCTCTCATCCCCTTGCACGGCTCCTATTAACACTCATTTCACCCTGCTAGGTTATTTTCAAGATTGCTTTGAAAGGTGGCCATTCCTAGCAGATATAAACATATACACATGTTATGTTAAAAAATAAATAATATACCCTTCACAAAACAACTTACTTTCCTACTATCCTATGTACAGTATCTAGTAATGTATAGCATTGTTATTGGGCTAAATTATATTTAAGAGGTATTATTTAGGGACATGTTGGTTCATTGTAGTCTTACACAGTTTGACTTTTTTTTTTAAATCACACGAAAGCTGCAAAGAATGATATTCCTATATTAATAATTAACTAATGATTGTGTGTCACACAATAACTATGCATTTTAGATCATTTTAAAAAGGAGCATTATAGCATCTTTCAGCTCATTGTTTTGGGTTTAATGCCCCCAACTGCTCTATATTTGTTGATATACTTTCAACAGCAGCAAGCGTTCAGTGAAAGAGCTGTGATAAAACCAATGACCACTCTCTGCCCAGCACTATATATCAGACGGACAGATGGTGAACACAGTGCAACATTTAGCAGCTAAAGAGCAAGATTTGTATAAGGAGTTTGATGAGACAAAAACAGAGCTAAAAGAGAGTAAATAATATTTTCAGGTGGACAGAAAACTTAAACAAATTCATGCAGAGTTGTTCTGATATTTGTCTTTCTCTTTACAGGCCCATTTTGTATATCGACTTTATAAGACTTAAATCCACAACCCAGACTTTTTAATGAGTTGCTTACACTGAAATTGTAAAACTAGGGAGGGGCAGAAGGGGAATTTAGGTTAAAAAGTTAGGTGGAAAAGATACTTTACTTCCTTCAGTTTCATTTAGAATGAGAAAAATAAATACTTTCTCTTTGAAGAAACACTAGAATAGCAGCAATAGCAAGTGTCAATGTGGTAACATGGAGTTCTAAACAGCAAAGCTCTTCTAGAAATTTCCTGTAAAATACCAAAACACAGATGAGGAGAGGGCCAGGAATGTGTCTGTGGTATTCACTAAACCGTGTTGTTTTAAAAAAAACTGCTAGTAAGCAAGAGCTTCAGAAGGGAGTACTGTTGCACTTTGTAGAGGAATAATTACTTCCCCAATCTGTACTTCCTGTTTTCTTCTCCGTCTGTCCCAGACTTTCTTTGCACAGAAACTGATCTAGATGAGAAGTAATATGGCTTAAAGATAACTGCTAAGATAAGAAGGGATTATAAATGTCCCCATTACATCTACAGTATTAGGCCGGTTATCTTACTCAAGTCCCCCTGATGGGACCAAAGGCTGCATATTTAAAGTCTGATTAGCACTCTATTCCTTAAGATCCTTAAGATGTTTCTATATAAAACCCTCAATTTATGGCTCTTTAATTAGCTTAAGCAGCTTGGCACTGACAAAAGCCCTTGTAATATTTCATTATTCTAAATCCAATTAGTGCAAACCAAAGACAGAAAAATGAAAGAAAGTAACTAAGACCCCATTTACACGCAAACGAAAATGAAATGCAAACGAACCGAATACGATATCAAAAAAGTCTTCCGTTCACACGAGACCGCTCGAAAGCGCTGGAGACGCTGTAGTACATATGCCGGGCCTGTAAGTGGCGCTGTACTTCTGCCACAAAATACACCAAAAGCAGCGAAGAAGACCACAGGGCATGATTGCCATGGTTGCCCTTCTGTTTATGCCCCGCGGTGGATTTAGCAACCTGTAGTTCATGTAGTTCTCCATGTCCACTTGTTGCTGATGGTTGTGGTAGAGGAGCTGTAGATTTTGCACTAACATCTGTAGCATGGTCAGTAGCAGTAGTAGTAGCTACTGACAGTAGCTACTGACCATGCTACAGCAGTGAGCAGCAGAAGTGGGGCTATGGCTTCATCGTTATCAGGAAATGATCGTATAGGGCACACTGAGCCGTTTGGCCCCCCAGAGCGTTCCGTTTGCAGATCTACCCACCTTGGGGCCTGTTATCGTTTGCGGGGTCCGTTTCCGCGTTCCCGTTACGGCCTTGTGTGAACGAACGGGCTATACGAAAGAGAAAAGTAGCGGATACAAACGTTTGCATTCTCGTGTAAACAGCACCTAAAAGGATTCTTCATGGTAAAACAAATATAGATAGCTCTGCTAGCAGCTCCTACTTGCCTTTGTTCATACAAAACTTTTAGGAAGATGTCATGCCCCTGAGTGATCCATTTAATTCTTAATTGTAGCATTAAAGAACAAGCTTGTATTTTTGTATTGCAATATATATTGCCTTTATATTATTTATATTATTATATTGCAATCTCAGTTGTTTATAACATATAGCAGTACATTTGTACATTCGTATTAATGTAGCACAATATGGGAGTGAAGCCAGATGTGGATAGGCAGGTTTTAAAATTCAGTATGTCCAACTCTTAACTTTTATTTTTAGTTCAGAATGACGCTAACGTTGTACACTTTGGTAGATAGCAGAAATGATGCTAAGAGACAAAAACACAATAACCAGCAAATATAAGCAATCTACCCACAAAGCAATACATTACAGTAACCTATTACTGTGTTTCTTCCCATGGTGATAGAAATACACGTACAGAGCAGTGGCAGTGCAGAGGCATAAAGTTTAGAGATGTTTTTGACGATTGAATCGTCAAAAACATCTCTAAACTTTACGCCTCTGCACTGCCACTGTTATCTCAGCGCTTCGCTGGAAGTCAATAATGACTTCCTATATCCCATGTAGCACCGATTAATTGGTCTAGAAACTCTCTGAGGAAACACTTCAGAAAGGAAACGTAACCAAACAGAGCATGTGTTGGCAGTATTATGTTGCCCTCTTGAACTCAAAGGCTTTTACTTTCTTTTCCATGTCAGCGAGCCCCAGATGGATCAGTATTAGGTCGAAGTCGAATTTGAAAAGGTTTTGTTCTATAATCGGTCTACATATTTGGATTGGAAATTATTTAGAACAATGGTTTTATCCGTCATGTAAGTAGGAAGATAATGCTACAATGAGTGCAAACAATGATCTTTATTAGGTAGAAAATTAGGCTTTATTCTTGTTATCATGAAGTCATGGTTCACATACTATCCTTTATTTGCAGCTATTAATCAGATATCAAGGTCATCTTCGACTGTTATCACCTTACAAATTCCATGTCCATACTTACTGTAGGTCAATTGATCACAACAGGGCTCTTTTGATTACTACTGAACAAACTCTAGTGGTCAAAAGCTCCAGTAAAAAAACATAGTAAGTCCACTTTGAGTTAAGGTTAATTGCTCAAACAATCATTTTAACTTATTTTCACACAGTTTGTACAGTTCTTACATTTTGCTCATCACAGTTAAAGCTAGCATAACACACTATATCTGATATCAGTTCGAAAAAGCCTCCAAGGCTGTTATTAGATTATTATAAGATTATTTTCCGTTCAATCGTCTACTGTTGTGAAATTGTTGTTGCTTGAGCTGTTGCACAACTCTACTCTCAGGCCTGACAAAAGAGGTGAAGATATCAGTCAGATATCCTCATTCTCTTTTGGTCAATATATCCAACTTTATCTTTAGGAGTTAACATTCGCTAACATTAGCTAACGTTATCATTTCACAGAGTGACAGAAGCAGAAACTCACAATTCCTTGGAGATCTCAATTAAGATGATTAAGATCTAGATGTGAAATATAACTTAAGGAATTCTCACTACAATTTCTGTCGGACAGTGCTAATTTAAAGCTACAAAACACAGGGCTGAACAGCTGACGCTAGATTATTATTTGACTGATACATCCTCCTGATGGTGCTTTTCAACACGGAAAAGACTAAATCCTTGCTAACCTTTTAAATGATGAATGATACAGAGTGGCATTTCCATCACTTACATGCCAGCATAGGTTACATTGGGTGAACTCACACATTTAATGCAAATACATTTTTTAACTGGGGGATAAAAAAAAAAGGCCCCAAAGAAAAAAGAAGGCCATTGCCTCTGCCTTAAACCCTGCACATGCCTCGTTTTACAACGTCTTGCGTCACATCCCGAGCAGTAAACAAAACCACTCTTGGCAGTTGTTGGCCTCTCCACACTTTGAGGTTAACCTCTGCGTGTAATTGGACCACAATAGTAATTGCAAGGGAGGATTACTCGTTAGTTTGACCACATTAGCCACTGGTAATTATTGAAGCTGCTGTATATTTCTGACAATTTATTAGCACAGCGCTTAACACTGCCTGCTTCTGTGTACCCAGTAAATTGCACCATATGCAACACAAATCTGCATTTACAGACTGTATTCATAGATCACTTGCCTTCCTAATCACATTACATTACATTGCATTTAGCTGACGCTTTTATCCAAAGCGACTTACAATAAGTACATTCGACCAGGAAGATACAAACTTGAAGAAAACAGAATCATATAAGTACATCAGGTTTCATAGAGCCAAACATTTCAAGTGCTACTCAACTGGCTTTAGATAAGCCAGTCCTTTATTAGTGTATAAGTGCTTTGATAGTAATTCTATCGCTCGAAGTGGAGTCGAAAGAGATGAGTTTTCAGTCTGCGCCGGAAGATGTGTAAGCTTTCTGCTGTCCTGATTTCAATGGGGAGACCATTCCACCATTTTGGAGCCAGGATAGCAAACCCACGTGTTTTTGCAGCTGGGAACTTGGGTCCCCCTCGCAGTGCGGGTGCAGCGAGCTGTTTGGCTGATGCAGAGCGGAGTGCACGTGCTGGGGTGTATGGTTTAACCATGTCCTGGATGTAGGAAGGGCCAGATCCATTCGCAGCATGGTATGCAAGTACCAGTGTCTTGAAGTGGATTCTAGCAGTTACCGGAAGCCAGTGAAGGTAGCGGAGGAGCGGCGTGGTGTGGGAGAATTTTGGAAATCACATTTGCAAATAGCAGAGCAGAAAGCGACCCAGTTAAAGTAGATTCAGTTATTTGAATCATTGCATAATTAGCGCAGTATTGCAATGGAAAACATAAATAAGTAATAGTTACATTGAACTACATATCTTTGATGAAATATGGGAAAGATGGGATGTGAAACACAGTCCATTACTAATGACCCTGTGGTAAGATCTGATATTCAATGTAGGTATGAATATTGATGTTGTGTTGGTTACTTGATAGCTATATAGTGGTGCAGAAACGAGTCCTAAAACCCGCAAATAACTTTAAACTTTTATCATTTTTACCACTTGCGGCTCCCTTGTCTCAAAGTCAGTGTTTTTTTGTTATGTTTGTGGTTAGAAGCATGAAGTAAATTCTGTGGTTAACACAATCTGAAGACATTTTCACGTTTTGTCCTCCAACGTCAGTGAATACACCACTCGTGAATGTCCAAAACATTTACGAGTCAAGAAAACCGCGGTTGCTAACAAGTGACTAAAAGAGACTGCAAAACATCATCACGTAGTTCGTTTACCTATTTACTTCAGTGGATTGCATTAACGCTTCAAAAATGTGGTATTAATATGTGGAGATTATCCTGCTTAACAAAACATGTTAAGTAACATGAATGTGTATTTGCCACAGAGCTTATTGTATGGGCTGAAATCCAATGGCAAAATTCTATTGGATTTTTTTTTTCCAGATTTGTGGATTGTTATATAGATTGGTGTAAATTCTTACAATGCAGCAAAACAAAACAAAAAATGCAAAAATCCCTGACTCATAAATGCAGTATACAAAAAGCGACTCAGCAGTAAGATTTGATGCACAGCTAGATGCATTAACCTAGTATGATGAACTATCTGATATCAATAATCCAATCAGACAAATCTTTCACAGCTGACTTGTCTTATGATTACAATTGTTTCTCAAACACTGCAGTTAGCCCAAGCCGGCATGTCATGCGGAAGAAAGCAAATCTGTCCGAGGCACCCTGTGAAACGTAGGAGGAGAAGATATCCAAATCTTATTCACCATCTGCTCCGCTGTGTGTTTGTCTGCTGCCTAAGCGAGGCTTTTTCTACACAAACACTGGAGACTAACAATGACAAAAATACAGCGCTTCACGTTACCGCCTGCCAAATATTGACCTGTTACACTCAGCACATTATGCTAAGGTGGGAAACTGGTTGCTCACTACATTGCTCAACTAAGCTGTAATACAATGTGAGCTTTTAAAAAAAATGTATGCAGGTGCATTGTTGCAAGTTGTTAAACATTTTTGAAATAGTTTCTGTCCATTGTAGTATTATATTTCTGTCTTTTGGTTCGGGTAAATAAGGACTTTTAGTGGAGTGTTATGGATTAAAGAGGATATATTCTGCAAATGTTCAGGTTTCATATTTGTATTTTGTGGCTCTACCGTAACATGTTTACATGCTTAAATGTTCAAAAAAGGTGCTTTATTCTGCTCTGATCGGTTAGCTAGGCGGCTCTGTTGTGATTGGTCAACTGCTTTGAGGTATACAAGAGGGAACTTTGGGATTTTAGCCTTTGCAGACCATTTACAAGCACACAAACCTAAATAATCCACTACAGGAAATGGAAAACCCCAAAATCATAAAAAGGCCTATTAAACAATGGGGAAAATACAGACAACTAGCAGAAAAACAGAGTGGACTAAATTAAATGAAATTGAAAGTTTCAATTTCCTCCAACTCTCACAACCAATTTTGTTCCCCTTTAATTATCTTACAGAACCATTTCATTTCCGTTCTCATTTCCAGATAACCTATTTAACAAAGGAGGACTGAAATTGTTTGTTTTGAAGAAGGTTTTTCAGGAGGTGCATTATCCTTGCTATAAGTTATTTCTTACATAATCAGCGGTTATTGAGCAGTAAGTTGAATTTTAAAAGCCTGTTTTTTGTCATTAAGGGTTGGCCGATTAAAAGCAGAGAAGATACTCCATTTGTAATGATATGAAAGATTAATAAACACGAGGATTTCAAAGTGATATTGGGTCTATTGACAGATCAATAAATTAGGTAATTTGTCAGCTCAAATTCAACCTTTGTAAAAAAGGTCATCATTACTCTGTACAACCTTTATGTGTTAGAAAAGGTTTTGATGTCAAGAATAACACAGTGGCAAGAGACAAACATGACATTAACCAAACACAGTTCAGCGTGCTCAGCTCTCTTACCCGGGTGGTGGTGGCGAACAGGTACTTGTCTCGTAGTTGGAAGCTGTCGGCCTGCTCCAGGATCACCGTGCGGTTCTGTTCACTCTGGAAGAAGTCGGTGCTGCTGAGTATAGTGGAGACACCCTGGGGCTCATGTCTCTGGACCAGCACTGTGGTGGGGGGGTCATAAGGCTCCATGCCCCTGTGATAGGGTGAGGAAAGACGAAGGAAAGAAACGAGGGTGGAGGAGAGGGGTAGATAAGACGGAAGGGAGTTCAGAGGGGTGCATAAAGCAAGGGAAATCATTCTGTTAGGCAATTCTTTCCAATATAAAATATTAACATTACTTTGTTTTCTTCCAACAGTATTTCTAGTGGTTAAGTAATGGAGTGCATTAGGCCCACGTACAATTTCCTCTCATTGGGTTCCTCGTTTATAACACGTCTTTGTGAACATGTGAACATAAACATTTTATATGTCTCATCACCAGGGGATTTCTCTGTAGGTGTATTGAATCAGGATAAACATTGCCATTCATTTTCAAAAAGTTCACACATTTTAACCAAAAGATGTATTCAAGCCATCAACTTTTGTCACACAACTTTCTGCAAACCCTCACATGCCTTTTTGACTAGATTATGCTACGACAAAGAAGGCTAATTATCATTGAAAGGTGACACACAGTGACCATATTTTTGTATTTCCTATTCTCATATCCCTTAAAGGTCAAACTTGGAAAAACCACAATTGAACTGGGAGACAAAAATGTGCACAGATTTACTTTGTCCCTTTGAGCAAATCCACTGAGAGCAAAATTATATTGAAATCAACTGATTTCACCACACAATTAGGCCATTTGAGATGCTGTTGTGAACTGTTAAGAACTAATCTCTCTTGGTCAAATCTTCACTCCAATTAAATAACAACTCTGTTAGAAAACACCTGGTTCCTTCCTAACAAGCTGAAGGTACATGCCTGTGTACAGAAACACTTAAAAGGTAAATTAACTACAACTAAGTATAGGTGAATTTCAGCAAAAAAAACATCCAATAGCACGATCTGCTGCCAAAACCAATTCGCTTATAAGGTCCAGCTGAATTGTTACACTGCCAGCATAGAGCACTGTGCTCCCTGTAGCAGGGCAACAATGACCCAATTGACCATTTTCAAAGTCAAAGCCAGTTTAATATTTCTCATGGGCCACAAGGTTGTTCAGTGGTTAGCACAACAAGAAGCTTTGAGGTTTGACACACCTCTTTTTCCTCCGTGAGGACTTTGCCTGTTCCCCCAGTGGTAAGTTTCAAGTTTAAGTGGTGTGTTTTTTTTTCATTTCCCAGACATGGAGGGAATATAAACTGAGGCCCTAAAGAGATGTATCTTTGTTTAGGTTTGAAATGCAAAAGTATCCAGCATAATTTCCTTTAGATGTCTCATTTAAGATACCATTCCAGCTTGGATAACTTTACTCAGAGGTAAGAGTCTAAAACATAGGCAGTGGCACTGAATCCTTCTTATTAACCTAAAAATAAGAATTATTCTGTCTTTCATTCTTACAAAGACTGCTTTTTAGCTATAAGAAACGCCACATTTCAAGATGTTAAATGTCAGCACAAAATAGAGACAACGAGCATGTTCAAAACTAAAATGTCCCCATAGTCAAACTATTTGTGTCCACTAGTGCACAGCAAGGGTGTTCTGAAACTGTGGCACGGAGAGCCAGTCAGAATGAATGAAGGAGGTTCACTGGGTCTTATCGTCTGCCTTCCAAAGCAGTGTGTTTCCCTCCAGAGTCTCGAGAGCTAAACAGAGAGAGCAGTGTGTTGGCTCGGCTCTGCCTCTGTGGCATTCTTTCAAAGGTCCTTGTTCAACTGATGGACACTGTCTGGGCTTCATGAGTGCATGGAGGGCTATTCGCAGTCTGTCTCGGTCCCTTCCTTTAAATTAATGTCTGCCCCTACTAAACACTTCCCTAAACCCAATTCCTTCCTTGTTTTGGCAGTTTCTCATTTTCTGACAGCTCCGTTTGTCATTTGGTTAGTGTTTCCCTAAAATGATTTAGAAGGAAAATACTACCCATTTTAGATTGGACTGTCCACATCTTCTTTTTTTTTAGTTCCTTATACGTGACTTTGTTGCATGACTGGAAGGATAAGATAATAGGTTGCATGACAAGGTAAAAAGATAACATCAAAAAAGATAATTCAACAAAGTATTGGCTCAAAGTATTGGCTCAAAGTATTGGCGGCGCGATGTATGGGCGCGATGTAGCGGCGCGAGGTAACATCACAAAGTATCGTCACAAAGTATTGTCTTGAATAATAGGCAACAACGGCTCTCACGGCCGAATGTCAATTGGTCTGTTTTTAAAACATTTAAAAACTTTACAAGGACATGTTGACTCGCACAGGCATATTTGCTCTTTACCTTTGTTGAACAGTGAAAAATGTGTGTTAACCCTCCCCTCTATCCCTCTTTTAAGCCTAGCTGCTTCATTTCTCTCAGTGCATTTAAGTCCCTCCAGGATTTGTAGTGTTGTCTGTAATCCACATGGAAAAAGAGATTGTAGTTCTCATTGTATGCACAGAGGATTTTACTGGGTCTGTCTCCTAGCAGTGAGATCAGAGGATTAGGAGTTGGGTGGGGGACGTACCAATCACAATGGTTTGCTTTTAAATGCATCCAGCAGCAGACTGAGAGTCAGGCTTGAGTTTCTTTGGCTTTCAGCACCCTAAGAATGATAGGCAGCACAACATTAGCACCCCATGCTAAAGCCAGAACAAACAGGATTAGACCCAAATTGGATAGAGCCACGGGGGGAAAGTTTAAGATCAATCATTACTTGCCCTGCCTTTGTCCTCAGATCATTTGCAGTTACTTTTGGTTGGTGTACCAATGCAATGGTGTAGCTTTAAAACAGACTTAAACATATATTTGAGGTTGCTTTTAATACTGTATAAATTCAACCTCCTATTTGTCAAAGAAAAATGTGTTATTCCTTTTTTAAAACATTGGTGTGGCCTTTACTACAAATGTGCTTGCCAGGATGAGTTCCCTGGATGCTTAAGAAATCTGATGTATATTTAAACATTTCAAGCTTTTATCTTATTAGTAGGTAAGCATATTTTTACATTCTGAAAATATATTTTGTCTAGCTGTTTTAAAGTAAAGCCATCTGAATTCATTAAAGATGTTGAAGCAAGTTCTCATTAATGAATGATGGAGAATGGTGTGTGTGCACAAATGTGGAGTCACTGAGGAAAGGTGTTGGTCTCTCCAGCCAATTAAACGTTCTTCCTCTCCAACTTCAACTAATATTTCAACTGGTTTTAGAGCCACATTTAAACTTATAACTACATGAATTTGTTCCTTTAACTGACATTTTAACATTATCGTTTCAGTGTTAACTGGTCAAATGAGCTTCCAGCTCTTCAACAGTTAGATAAACTACTTCATTGTTTTATTGTCAGAGACCATTTAACTCCTTTAAGGGCATCGAATCAAAACAACCATATTTAATGTTCTCATTATTACACCAGCTGGTTTTGTCTGCTTTCACATTTTTAGTTTTTTCTCTATTCCTTTGAATGCTAATAATTCACCCGACACTATTACACAACCTTTCAGGGATTTAAAGGGGCCCCACTATGCTCATTTTCATGTTCATATTGTAATGTTTGCCTCTACTGTGACATGTTTATATGCTTTAATGTTCAAAAAGTGTTTTATCTAGGCCTTAGCCTATCATGAACAAAGTGTTGGAGCTCTAACCAATAGAATTGAGAGTGTTGCATAGTGATGTCATTATGTTACAGGAGTAAACAAAGGAGTTCAATCGAGGCGTTTCAGGTAGGTAGGTAACTTTGGGATTTTAGCCTTTGCAGACCATTTACATGTACAAAACCTATATAACACAGTACAGGAAAGGGAAACCCCCAAAAAGCATTATTGGGACACTTTAACTTCAACCCACACTTCTGTGATTGCAATGAGGACATTGTAAAATATAAAGTTGTTTGCATTGGCTGTTACTGTTTTTCACTACAAACAAACAAAACTGAATTACTTCAAGTCCACAATGTTTGTCCTGAATACATCTTGCTTTGTTTTCAAAGAGTGACATAGTGTTTTTATCTCATATCAAAATATATTTCCTGGTAGGTTTCTGCTGTATCAAAGGCCTTTCAGATCTACAATACACTGAACATGATCACAGTGAGGTGTGGATGTGGATGTGTGCAGGCAAACTTTGTTTCCGTGATCTGTCTGAAGGTGCTTTTATCGAGCACACAGGCAGGAGAAAATGCATAGAAAGGAAGCTAGTGATATTTATTCAAACTAAAACTCATCCATTAGCTCAGTCTGTTTTATTGTTCAGTACTGTTTTGAAATGTCCTCTTTTTGCCAAAATCTTAAGCACGGCCTTATAAGCCAACTGCTTTATTCAATTTAAAGTAAAAGACCCTGACTGCTGAAGAGTTTGGCATAGAAAAGGGTACGAAATCCCTGATTTCATTGTCTTGCTGTTGGCAACAGTGCAGTACGAAAGGCTCTAAAAGGAAGGCTACTTCCAAAAAAAAAGTATAGCTTTTTTCAAATTGGGTTAAAGCAGACTATAAAATCCACTATTTTGAAACACATATTTTGAAACACAGTAAGAGTGAGGCGTCCTTTTGTTCAGAGGGCAGAGGTACATGCTCCTGGTCTTTGGATGTTGTATTACAAATCATTCACACAGCAGACAAACTAGGTTTGACTGAAATGACTCTTGGCGTTACGTAAAAAAATCTAACAATTTATTTATCAGCACCATGAGGACAAATAAGGTACAAGGCTAATGTTAACATTTTGCACATAACTACTTAAATGTATCTTCACAGCGTTAAACCAAACATAAATATTGGATGAAGCAAAATACTTTTTGTCATGTTTCCAAAAGTACCATTTATTCCACTTAAAGGGTGGGGAGAACCTATATAACTGCCAATTTGGAGCAATATCTATATGATGCCATACATAAACTGAATAAAAGATGTAATACAGACATCAATAATTTAAATAAACACCTGATGTAGCAGCATTTTATTATATAATCCAAGAGCAAGAATTCAAATGCATATGGTAGTCTCTAGGGGTGCACCGAATGGGAAATTCTTGGCCGAAACCGATACCGAAAATAGGAAACAGTTGGCCGAATGCCG